GGGTGAGTAAACGATGGTCGACCATGGCGGTTACCAAATCAATACGTTGTTATATTTGTTATTGCCACTAACTATTCATAATTCTCTTCTTATCCAATGGCTGATACGGTGATGGGATGGGCTCCGATTCTTGTCAATAATAGTCCTGGGAGCATGGAAGTGGGACTCTCTCTCTTGGCCTAGTCGGATCAGCGCACGGGAAACGCACGGCGGCCACGGGCCGGGAACTGTTCGGGTGTTGGTTGGTGGCGGATCGACTGGTTGGTGGGTGGTGGCGGATGGCTGTTGTTGTTTGTTGTGTTGTTGTGTTGTGTTGTTGTTGTGTGTTGTTGTTGTTGTTGTTGTTGTTGTTGTTGTTGTTGTTGTTGTTGTTGTTTTTGTTGTTGTTGTTTTGTTGTTGTGTTGTTGTTGTTGTTGTTGTTGTTGTTGTTGTTGTTGTTGTTTGTGTTGTTGTTGTTGTTGTTGTGTGTTTTGTTGTTGTTGTTGTGTTGTTGTTGTTGTTGTTGTTGGTTGTTGTTGTTGTTTGTTGTTGTTGTTGTTGTTGTTGTTGTTGTTGTTGTTGTTGTTGGTTGTTGTTGTTGTTGTTGTTGTTGTGTTGTTGTTGTTGTTGTTCGGTCGGTGTTGGTTTATGGGTTGTCCCACGGCGAGTGTTGTTTTTGTTGACCATGGGCGGAATTGAATCGTCGGAGCTGGAGGTGTCATCTTCCTCTTCGGAGGCATCTTCCTTCTCTTCCGCGGCATCATTTTCTGATGACATCCTGGTTGAATCATCCTCCGACGATGTGTTCAGATCTACTGTGGGCCCCGTGCGGGGAGCTGGTGCAACGACAACGGCAGCAGGAACTGGAGCAGTGGGAACCGGCGCAACTGGAGCTTCGTCAGGGCGGATGACAGTGACAGGAGTGGCTTGTCCGACCTCACGGTATTCAACCTTCACGAAGGAGATTTCGATGCCACCACCATCCTTGATGCTTGCATTGATCTTGAAGTAGAACTGGTGGCCATTGTCTTCAACAGAGACGATGACATTGGTGGTGTCAATAACTCGGAGCGACATGATGCTTTTGCTTCCAGTTGCTGCTGGATAAATGAGGGCTTCCACGATTTGCTGTTGGTTGGATTGAATTCGGCTACGCAGGCCGTTGGAGTCATTGGCGCGGAGCGTTCTCAAGTTTTCTGGTAAAGGAATCTAATTTGAACGCTCAACAAATATCCTCGAAGCATGCTGAGAGCCGATTCAATTGCATGAAAGAGAGAGTAAGTCTTCCCCAGCCCGCCAAATCCAACACGGAGACGATTGAATCATTCTGCTGCTGCTGTTGCTGCTATTGCTGCCATCTGTTAACTCACATTATCCTGCCTTCTTGCTACAAGAGTGATGTGGTCTCTCCGTGCTTCGCAAGTCATCGACTGGTTCGTCACTGCAGCAATCCTCTTTCTTATCTCTGTCTGTAATGCCATCGTCCTTTGTGCCAAGTTTTTCTTTTCAGCTTCTGCCTATTTGCTGATTGCTGTCGCTGAAGACCACCTTGATGAGGTTGCGGTTGCCTACTGTCGAAGGAAGAACCTCATCAAAGAGAAGAAGACTGTTACCATTGCCTCGCCTCCACCGAAGCTATTGAAGACCATCGCTGTCAAGACCATCCCTGCATGGGCAAGTGCAACTGATATTGATGGAGTACGATCTGAATGCCTCGCCAATGCTTCCTTTCGCTTCAAGCATTCCTTTCGGCCCGATACTGATCATGTGCAAGGCTCTGTCTTCTTGCAACAGTTTGAATCAACAAAGCTACACCGAATCTACATCAAGGGCTTCAGCCATGTGAAGAACACTCACCTTGCCATGAAAGGAGATCCATTCGATGGTCCTGTGTGCCTTCCAATCGATTGTGGATACACAACGTATGATGACATTGGAAAGAGCCAAAAGAGAGGTGTCAAACACTTTCTTCTCAGACTTGAGTTCGATGGCAATGATGAGGGCCTTGAGTACCTTCAGATCATTGTGGAAGTAGGCAACTCGAGCTCCAAGCTTAGCAGTTGCCTTGCTTTCCAGCAGCAGCTTATCCTGGCCTTAGAAGGCAGTGCCGTTGATGAAGAGGAAAAGATGAGCGAGTAGGTGAGTTGATGGAGCTACCTCCACAGTTGCCGTCTCCATTGTGCTCGATGGCGTTATTAACCCACCTGTTGTTGCCCACACAGGCCGTGGAACTCTTCCACATCATCGGCCATCCACTCTTCTATTCAGAGCGGTCGCTGTAGCCGTTTGTCTATGGACTCAACCAAATGGAGGTACCTCCATTTTGGCAAAAATGGTGGCATATTCCCATGGTGGCCATAGTGTGTGGCTATCTCAGTAGTAGCAATGCAGACATCTAATACCAATTAGTAGTAAGAGTATATAAAGACCTCTTATAGGCTCAAAGATGAGCTTAATCGGCCAAATATTGGTGGAGATACAGTCGTTTCAGTGGTGGCACCAAATGGTGGCAGCTAGCTCCATTTGGAGGCACCTCGACACGAGGGACTAGGTATTCAAGTTCTCCTCTTGCGAAGAAGGACTTGGTAGCATTGATCTTAAGTCCGGCTTCTCGAATCCTTCGGAGAACTTCATCCAACTTTTCAACGTGATCTGCTAGATCGCCGTTAGTTAGGATGAGTAGATCATCAATGTATGCACGGACGTATTCTAGGTCGTGCATTAGTGTTCCCATCTTCTCTCTTCTCTTGGAAGTGTCGTTCAGGTTCGGGTCTTTACATGCTTTGTTTCACTGGTCCTTATTGGCAATCTCTGGTCGTTGTCTTTCCTCGGTGTAGTACGATGTGTACAGCGTTGCTTCCTCCTGCTCCCTTGCCTGCAGGTGTACGGTTCTCGATGTGATGTTATTCCCATGTTTGCGTCTTTATTTTCGGTACTTCGTCAGCTTCGGTATTTGATGCCATCTGATTTCTCTAAGGCTGTCTGTATTTTTTGGGGTTAGTCGATAAGGCTTTTCGCTTATCCTTTGTGTCTCTCTAGTTTCCGGCAATTCAGGTTTTGACTTCGCTACGTTCCCTCTTTTCTTGGGTCTGATGCAGTTTTGGTGGTCGCCCACTCGGACGGTTTTCCTTCTTTGTGTTACTCTTGTCTCGCGTATGTCTCGCTCTCTCCTCCTTTTTTGAAGAGTTTGTATGGGATCCCTGCTTGGACTTGGTAGCTCTGGCTTATGTATGGTGTTTGCTACTAGGGAGAAAGTTTCTACTTCGTAGTCTCTCACATCTGCCCTTTCTGCGTCCTCGAATGTGTGTCAAGGTCTCGTC